AAAAGTGAATAATTAAATTTAGACACACTAAATAAAAAATTAAATCTACCAAATTTGAATTAAAATAAAAATTAATGAGAAAAATAAAGAACATATTAAATTTTTTTTATTAATTAAGTGATTTAATTAAATTTAAAAAGTAATTTATAAATATTATTGAAATACCATTCATTTATTGGTTCAAGTGGAATGAATTCGGTTCCTCTTAAATAAAATCTCGAATTCGAGTTTTGTGAATAGAAAAATAAGTGTTGGAAGAGTTTTTCTTTAATGGAGTCCGGTGCGGTTCAATTTCGAATTAGTTGGGACTGAATGTGATTACTGGATACCGAAAAGTTAATAAAAAAAACTATTGAAGTAAAATATATTTAATTGAAATAAAAAAATATATCATTATTTCATTAAAAAATAGTTGAGGATATTTATATTATATAATATTAATTAATTGATTTAAAAATTAATTAATTTAAAAAATACATTATTACTAAAAAAAATGAAGTAAAGGAAAAAGAAAACATTCAAAGGCGTGCAGGTACAATGCCACGGAAGCCGATGACAAACGGCGTCACGAAGTCAGTTAGCGAAGGGGCTAATTTGCTCCTTACATGGGGTTTGAGGGCTTATCTGCCACTTTTTTAGTTTACGGGCATATTACTAGCTATTGAAAAAGTTGAGAGGTTTAACATGGGTTTTTGCCAAAGAAGAGGAGTGGTTATATTCTTCCGTTTACTTTTGCTTTGTGTTGGAGTTGTGGGGTCAAAGCTGCACAAGTGGCAGCAAATGAAAATGAAAGGATGCACAAAATGGCAGCAAATGGAAAGAAGGGAGGACTGCACCAACAGCACGGTAGCAGTAAAGTGCAGCAAGCTAAGCTGCAAATGCGGAGGAAATGAGGCTGAAATGAAAGGCTGCAAAGTAGCAGCAAAATACAGCGACATGGAGCCGCATAAATGGCAGCAAATCTTTTGATGTAATCATGTTGAAATGTTTGGTAGATTTTCTTGTATCAAGTAAATATTGACTGAGTGAACCGGATTTTCAATTCAAATTATTCATCTCAAGCTTTTAAGAGTTTGGGTTAAGTTGATAGAAGATTTTAAGTCTCATTAATGCTTTGAAAATCTTTATCCCTTCTCCAAAAATTATAAACTACTAAAAAAAAAAGTATATATTATGTAAGAAAATTATTGTTAATGTATTAAGTGATTTCTACTCTACAATAACAGAGGATGGATGAAAAAAAATGAGTTTTCACCTCACAAAAAAAGAACTCTTGGTGTGTCTCCTTCCCCTCCAAGTCCTCTCTCAAAAACCCCTTTTTACCACCGAAAAATCTCAACACTTTGCTTCCATTTTCTCAATTAGTTATATTAAAATTATTTTAAAAAATAGAAAAAATTCTCTCTCTCTTTTTCCTTCAAAATTTTGTTATTTGAATAAGGATATTTATCTTCCATCCTTCCCTTCCCTCCCCTCATATCAAATAAGTTTTTTTATTTATTTATTAGGGCAAGTGATTTGAGGGGAGGGAGGAGGGGAGAGGAAGAAAGAGGATCGAAGCCTTGTTATGAAGAAAAAAACTTATATTAAACTGTTGAGTAAGTGGACAAGCTTTCTTCCGTATCAAATAAGTTGATCGTGTTATTATTAGCTGAAAACATCAATTATATTCACTCTATTCTAGAACAAAAATTTGGAAATAATTTATATTTATACTTATATTTATCTTTAAAAAAGAAATAAAGATAAAAAGGGGTTTTTATAAGAAAATTTTATTTTATAATTTAAACTGTAT